TGCTTGCCCTTGACCACTCATGTCTAAGGTGCATTTTACGGGTCCATTGAGCGGATAAATTATCACATGGTCGCATTCCACCTTCATTCAAATACTACCTGTATTGATATAATATTATCACAAAGCGTCGCCTTCGCTGGTTAGGGCACGTTCTCTGACGTGTACCACAGAGCACAGAAGCACATTTACTTGCTAAACTCTGTGGATGCATGGCCTCAAAAGTGAGGTGGGCCAATCAAGACTGGATTAATACAGTCAATCAAGACCAGGATTAATAAGAAAAGATTGTGAACTTATAGGTGGACCTGCAATAAATGGAATTAGACTATGGAAAAAGGAATGGCTTGTATTACTATTGACATCAGACATCAGACCGCACAGCTTCTTACCTTTATAGCCGTTGAAGCCAGCCTGACCAGTAATGGTGAGAGCTGTTAGAAGAAGAAAAAGTGATAGTAATGGTAGTCTAAACAATTATCAAATTTTCGTTGAATTTCAATACAAGAAATAACAAAGGTTCATTTTCGCCGGTAAGTCACTTAGCCGTAAAAATACGGGTAGACTGTAGACTGATAATTTTTATGGAACTAGGTTTAACTAGGCTTATCATGATTCCTGTCCCCGAGTGTCTTTCCGAATATTTTCTTAGAAATTCATTAATATCGTTTATTTTTGCTTCTAATAAATAAATTTACTATATATCATTTATTTTCATTATTTATTATTATTATTCTATTATTCAAATTCGAATTAAGATTTTTGTTTTTTTTTCAAAGATTCAAAAAATTGGAAATTAATTTAGGTTTTAAGAAAAATAATTTTAATAAACTGCAAAAAAAAAATTCATTTTCTTTTTTTTTCCTGCAGTTTATAATGTTTCTGGTTAAGTTCAACAACTGTTTGACTAGGAAATTCTTTTTTTTTGCCAATGAGCCATATAGACGTGCCATTTATTTAAATCTCAAGGTACCACTCGAATTTTTAATGGTAGGTTTTTTCTGATAAGTAAAAGATTGAACTATGAAGCTTAAAATAGCAATAAGCGGTAACCATTCTCTCGAAATTTCTAAATTATGAGAAAATTCTATTTTTGCACTTTATTTTAGTAATTCTTGATCATTTATGCTCGTTATATATTAAATCAGATTATAGTTTAATTGAAGTAAGAACAAAGTGACTTTAGGTATTTCTTCAGTGCTATTAATAATTATCAAAATAATCCGATTTGTAAAAATCCAATAAATTTGTTTAATTTTTATTAAATTGCCTACCAGATTATCATTTCGTTATCACTAATCAGAATCCGATGGTATTGTTTTTATCTTTCTTTATCAATTCCTCACCATTGTGTATCTCTAGTTTCATTAATAAAATGTAATAAATACGTGTAAAAAAATTTTTAATCAATTCCTTCTTCTTATTCTGTTTTCTGGTTTGGTGATTGCCTTCTAGCGTAAAGGCTTTTCAAAAATGAATAAAATTTGAAATATGGCTAAGGCATTCATTAGGCAACATTTCTGGTGGTTGATTTCTTCCATTTTGAGAGAGGAATTGGAACTGTGTTCTTTGACGTCCAACAGGAAGAATATTGGACTCTAGGACTGCCTCCTCGATAATTTCGGAAAAATTTGTACATTTTTTGGAAATATCACTTTGGCATCTCACTCTCCTCTTTTATCAGCACTGTCATCTAATACTCACCAAATAAAGCTTATGGCAATATATTTATAAGTGGTGTTTATAGCACCAGTCAGACATACTTTTTATGATTTAGTCTTACCAAAGAGCATGGAATCAGAATCACAAAGCATATCGAAACAATTCCTTTCGAACATCCATATTAAAATATATAGGAGAGTAGAATGGCTCAGTGGATTGTTCCTCGATTCAGAGCGTCGATGCTGAGGCTTCAATCCCTGCAGGAATAAACCTGTATAAAAATCCGGCTGGTGCTAGTGACTCAATGATTTTCACTTTTCGGGGATTTATTTTGGCAGTAGAAATACAAATTATTAGGTCTCCAACACCATAAGGAAATAAAAATAATAGAAATAAGAAAAAAGTTTGCTTATTTTACTTAAAATCTATATAAACATGTATTATTTAATTTAATTAATTCAATATAATTTAATTGATTTAAGAAAAATGCAAGAAGCAATAAGCAATTCAAACAGATTTTGAAAAGTTAAGATTTACTTTATTGAATTTATTAGTTAAATAATTAAAAATATAGACAAAAAAGTTGCAAAAAGAAATGAAAAAAATATTTCTCATTTAAGTACCATAGGATTCTCTTTTATAGACCAAAATTGAAAATTCAAGGTCTATCACGGATTTCAAGCCCCAAAACGAATTCATTGTACGAAACATACAGCGAATCTGTAGATCATTTATACTGAATGGACCAAAGTCATATTGGCGAATGCATGTGACTTCTGAGAAAATTTCTTGTATCTTGCAACCTTTTTGAATTAACTCATCGAAAATTTAGAAGCATATTTGCATTAATAATGTTCAGGAATTATTGCAAAACCTAAGGCAATGGATGAAGATGAGTTGATAAGATAAGCTTCAAGAAAAAAAGGACAAGAATGTTGCCTATCGCCATTCTATTCACCATCCACCATTCCTTTCTCCTCATCGTTGAAAAAAACAATAAATAGTGCCGATGTATAAAAATTTGCCAATTTTTCGATTTAAGGTTATAGCTTGGGATTATATTCGTTCGCTATGGAATGCGTTGGCTAAGTGGTTTTCAATTATAAAATGTATATTTATAATAATTATGATTACTATTTTAATGTGAAAAATCCAATCAAATTAAAGTAATAACTACACATTAAAGTAGGCAAAGTTGATTATTTTTTACATCCCACATTTCAGAGATTTTAATAATATAATAAGTTTTAAATTTTATTTTTTCAATTTAAAATTATTGAATTATTACGATGATTAGTTCTAAGGAATGCACCGATGTTGCTTCAGGCATGGCTTTCTTTTAATATAATTTCAGACATGATTAATTCATTGATTACTTGTAAATATATTAAAATACTAGTAAATAAAATCGTTTATTTGATTCAGGTGGATCCCAATCAAAGAGCCACCTCTGGAAAATGGTGCAAATGAGCACCACATAGATACTTTTAATGAAAAATTTTCACTATTCAATTGTTGTGCTTTCAGAAAAACGATAAATGACTCGTATTAATTTCGTTATCATTTGGCCAGCTCTTGTTTGCTTACTATACCTAACGGTAATAGACAAATTAGCCAAAAATAAGCCATACATAAAAATCTGCTTTCTTTAAATAATAATTGAATAGATAAAAATAAAATATTATATGATACTTTGTATCTTGTTTTTGGGAGACTCGCCGGGACCAGAACGGTACTTTGATAAAATCATCATAATATTTTGTTTTTGGCGGTACCAAACAGGCTTATGGTATTTAGGCTTTGCACTAAAGCTGTAAATTCATCTAAATTTCAATTTTTTATGAAAAAACCAAACTGACCGCACATTTCCAAAGCGAAGAATGGTGGGAAATGAACTGAAAAAGTTCAATTTCCAGAAGATTTATAACCAAAAGAATAGAAGCATTATTATGTATGAAAATTTGAGAACCCATATGTATCCTTTAGTGTTCCTTATCAGGAGTTCATCTCCTTATCAGGAGCTTGGAAAATTGCATCTTCATATTCACAATTTTCCATTTCAAATTTAGCGTCTTGGACTATGTTTTTAGAACTAATAATCAAAATAGCATAAAATTTTTTGGTGATAACCAAGTATTATCCCAAAAATTCCATACTATTTGTAGAATTTGTAGAAATGAACATAGAGGTTTATCGAGGAGATCAAAAAAAAAACTCCTTTGAAATCTTATCCGATTTTATCATCAAAAGATTCTATGTAAAAGATTCTCACTGACAAATCAGAAAATTTGCCTATAGCAAAGATTCAAAATGATTTTTAAGATTGAAAATTTTTATCTAAAATTACCAGAATTTATTATTCACCATAAGATTCATCCACTCAACAAAAGAATAATTTTTTGATCGACAAAAATCACATTCATTTTTTAAATTTATCAATTCTTTCTGGATATTTGCGTTAGCGGCTCAGTGATAAGATAATTGAATTGAGTTTCAGTGCTTAGGAAAAAGCAAAGGAGAGTAGAATTATCTGTAGTTCAGTTCAGAATACCGAAAATATTAAGGTTCTATCACCGGCAGAAATGAATCTATCCTTCAAAAATCCTAGTGTTGCTGGCGATTCACCTATACTTCTATCGCCAAAAAGTTCCCTGCCATATTTGTCTAGTCCGACAATCCAGTGGAACGAGTCTAATTAGCAGTGGTGACTGTTTAAAAAAATACTTCTGAATTCATTCTTTTAATATCAAGCGCACCTTTCATTTTTTGTTAAGATAAGACCACTTTTGCTAGAGTGCCATTTCCATTTACTACATACACCATTTCTGGCATGATTAATTCCACTAATTGCTAAGAAGAGGCGTTATAAAGAGGCTTTAAGCTGCAAACTAATTTGGTGATGAATGGTGCAAGCATATTTACTACCGCCATCGCGATTTCACGACATGTTCACCTTTTTCCTAAGGTCTCATCCAATACAATTAGTTCATTTATTTTGTATAACCAAATGTGCTTTGATTCAAATATGATTCATTTAGAACCAATTGCTGTGCTATCTGAGAATTATAATGACTTGCTGTACTGCTACTATTATACTTGTTTAATAAAAAACGAACCTATGGTACTACCAAACTTACTTTCAATAATTTTACAGATGTTTTTACCTTCGTCCATATTTATATTATTCATAATGCATATGCAAGTGGATTTAGCGTCTATGAAAGTTTTAAGAGTCTCGAGATCAACAGAATTTGGATCAATGAAATTGTGTCCACCAGGTAAATTATTTAATCTGAAATCACCCATTTTGGTCTTCATAGTACCAAATTTACTTATTTTATATGCTTATATCTGCTTATACTTTTTCATCTCTTCAAGCACATACAATTATTGCTGGCTTAGCTGACCTTATTGAAGCCGGTGAGGTGTTTCGAAGCTTCTTATCGGATGGAATATTTAAAATACCTTATTTTACTGAGAAATCTATAGGTTCAAAACCTCTATTGACCGTTTTGATCCAAGTTTTGTCTGACTCTCCTCAGCTTTTGACCAATCACCTTCACGAAATAATATGGTCCTATGACACCAACAGTGGCGCCAAAGCGAAAGCAATGTAAGATTTCATCGGCACAGTACGTACCTCTATTAGTTATCCGCATCTCATACCTGCCACAACTACAACCAGGTTATTTGTGCAATGCGCGTCTGAACATGTGAATATATTTATCTGACTCTTTCGCGATAGATTCACTATTCAGTCAATCGAATTCACTTTAGTGATAAGATTGCTTTTATCAAAGTACTGCTCACTTGAAATTCAAAATTTGCTATTTCAGGAGGCTTATCATTCTTCGAAGCATATCAAATGGCTTGTCCAATGCGACGCAAAAGAACCACCACTAACCTAGGCGAAACAAAATATCGAAAAGCTACTCTTAAAGAATTAATGGAGATTTGCTGCATTCGTGGCTGTGATATTGCCGATTTAAGTGGTTACTGTGGACCATTTAATAGCTAACTTTTAGTGATTGTACAATTTACAACCGATAAACACTATGTTGAATTAAAAAAACATAGTACCAATGCACAGTATTTCGTGCAGTGCTTCCTGGACATACAAAATATATAAAATAGAATAGCAATGACTGATGAAATTAATCGAAGACATATATTTCTTGATACTATTGGGTAATATCAGGTGAATGGCTCATTATGCTTCATGAGTGCCATCACTTTGAAATCTTTGAAATCTATCCATGATATACATAATCCACTTGAAAGTAAGGTGAATTACCCTCATAAAATGGTTCATTATATTTGACGGGTACATATTTTATTTCTTAAAGGAAATATCAGGTCTATTTTTTTTTCTATTACAAAATTATATCATTAGCTATCTGAGTATTTATTAAAAAAGACTGAATGAGCCAAATATAAAATCAATCGCTTTATTGATAAAAATTTGTTGTTTTAAATAATATTTTGAATAACCCAACAAAATTTGTATAGATGTTTAATTTCTGAATATTGAATATATTAAACTGATTCCTGCACCGGAGGCTCATAATCATCTGGTCTATCAATTTTTTCACCTTCAGTTGTCGTATAAGAACCAACATCACCATGCATTTCCATTAAACGACCTATTTCAAATTTAGGTTTTTTCAGAACTTTCACTTTACGTATATAGACGTCCTGAAGTGGGTAAAGATAGGAGCACGCTTTTTCGATATCCTTGCCAATCGAATCTGGAATCAATTTGCTGCAAACTTCGCGTAAATCACTTCCTTGCACCTAAAATTAGAAAAATCCAAACATGAAAAATGACAAAATTTAATTGTTAAACTATATAACTATTAAAAAAAGTAAAAAAAGCAACATGAATAGGGAACTTTAAGTAAGGTTAAAATTCATAAAATTTAGTTTTAAAAAAATTTAGATTAAAATTTAGATTAAAAAATTTTTAACAATAAAATGATAAATTTACTTCTTTTTGCATATGTTCAACCATCCTAGCTCGAATTTGCCTTATTTTCGAAGATTTCGCATAACTAGTTTTTTTCAATTGTTCCGGATTCTTCTTAGTAAATCCTATACAAAACAGTCGCAATAAATATCCATCAGATGTCTTTACTGCCACATTTGCTTCAATTAACGTCTGTAAATTTTCATCTAGATATCAATTTTTAATTTTGAATTTTTTTAAACCACCAGCAAAAATTTTTAAAGGACTCACGTGCCACTTTTTAACAATGGAACAAAGTTTATCACGAGTAAATTTCATTCCATGAAAATTCGTTAAACAATTACGCCCTTGAACATCTTCACAAATTAAACGAAATTTACGGAAATTAAATTCCGAATTATTCAAATCACCCAGTGAAACTTCGAATACACGTCCCTTTAAACCTTCGCTGGCAATCTCTATAAATATTATTTACGTATATAAATATACAAAAAAATCAAATAGGACAAAGAACAACTTAGGAATAACTCTACAAAAAAAATGCACCTCAAAGATTGAAATTTCAAGATAAAAAAATTTAACCAATCTTTAAGACAGAAATTGGCCACCAAAAAAAAAAAAATAAATGAACTTGGAAAAATAAATGAACGGGTTTTTAAAAATCAAAGTTTTCTTTATTTTAGCGATCCTAAATTTTGCAATTTCTCCGTACTCCGAAGGAACTGTGAAACAATTTAAAAAATTTTCAACGAAAATTTCCTAAAATCGAATAAAATTTACTTGTTCCTTGAGTTCGATTGACAAGCGTTTTGCCAATATTACGATTTGTAAACATTGATGGTGCTCTAACGTCGTACCATTCCTTACGTGTAAATGGATCGACCACCTTCTTCTTCGCACCTTTCTTACCCATTTTCTTATTTTTGCCAACAGCCATGGTAAAAATCGATTATTTTCTAAGAACAAATAAATATTCTACATAAAGATAAACTTAAAATACAAAGTAATGATTAAATAAGTTAAAAATAAAGCAATAAAAAATACTTAAAAATATATTAATCGAAATAATTAAAAGTAATATTGAAATAATTAATAAAATAATATTAATAATATTCAATATTTACTTCGAAACGTTCCAAAATATAATAACAAATAATATTTGCAAGAAATTTTAAACAATAAAAAAGTAAAAATTATCAAATAATAAAAAAAATAAAATGGACGGTCCAAGTAGTCTAAAATAAATATTCATCTCTCCACTTTCTTTTTTCTCCTAAATCGTTTCAGTAATTTCAGTTAATTCTGTGCAATTGGTCCTGCGGATTCAATTAGCCCCGTGGATTTCCATTATATCTGCAGACAATAATGAGGAAAGTCACTTCAAGTAAAGCCTAAATCTATTTGTAAAAAGACAAAAACAAGGATATTAACAAAAGAAGGAAACAAGGATAACAAGGATATTGATTTTGATATTAATTCTGCAGAAACAAAAATAATGATCATAATGCGAGCGATTTAAAAGAAGGATATTACGCATCCGCAAACCATAAGCCATAACCAATAAAGTGAAATGTGTCGCAATCGAGACACCTTCCCGATGTTTTCGATAGATATTTCACCAAATTAGTTGGGTACTGGGTACAGATTCAAGATATTCTTGGTAAACTCGGATAAATTAATGGCGCAATTCAATGTTCCTTTAATAACAAACAACCAAAGTCTCTCATCCCAACCCCCTAACCTAGCCCCCCTCCCCTCACCTCCCCCCCAATAAAATCCGAGCACAACGAGAAAACTTTTAGGTGAAAGGAAGATTTCGGCCGGATTGCCTATTTGTCGGACATTTATTAATAATTTATCCGCAAAAATACGGTAATGGTCTTGAAACGAATTTTGTAATGTGTGGTCGATTTTGATTGCATGCGACTAAATTTGACCCCGATTATGAGTCGTTTCGCGAATTTTGAACCGTTTTGTATCGATCCTTTGTAGTTTACCTGTTTGGTTCATTGGGTCACCGGGTTTCGTCCTATCGGGTTATGTGGGTTTCGGGTCATTGGTTCAGATCAGGCTAACGTTCTTCTTCATAAAAATTTTGTACTATTTTCAGTCTATGAAAATTTTCGAAATGTTTGATAAATTATTGCAAATATCTTTTTTATTTTATTTCCATATCGATTTATTTGGAAATTTTTAACGGAAATTTCAAAATTATTTCAATTTGGTGGATTTAATTGTGTTTTATTTTTTTATTTCTTTTTGTTATTTTTCTATTCAAATTTTTTTTTTTATTTTTCGAAATAATTGCAAATCTTCGAAAAAAAATCAGAAATTGCTGTATTATAGAAGTTGTTGATTTTACTTTATTTCTCCATTAAAATGCAGTATAGAAAAAATGCTATAACGCAGCTTCCGCACAAATAAAAAATGCGTAATGAAGAAGGCAAGCGCGTATATATCGCATACGGTGATAATTGAAAGAAGCCCCAGCCAAGCTACCACAGCTAGGCCGCCTGTTTGAATGTATCAGTTAAAAGATAATTATATTAACAGTGATAATGATGATGAAAAAAACCTAACATATGTTTTCATTTATAATTTTGATGCGGCGGCTGCAATATAGTACGGTTTTCTTTGCTATATTTTAACCTATTTCTCTTTCTACAGTTTTTTTTTCGTTTTTTGATTATATGACCGAATTAGATTGCATGTTCGTACCATTGCTTTCATAGTGATTTATATACAAGTTATTCAATTAGCTAACTTGTTTTTTTGGAACCATTTTTAATTTTCCTGACCATTGAATTTAAAATAGTTTTATTGGCACTTCCATCTGGTCTAAGATGGTGCGAGTTTCATGAAGGCAAAGGAAGAGAAAAAGTAAAAAAATTCGGTGGTGATTTAACTAACCATATTAGATAAGATGAGATACTTTATGAAAAATGATTACTTGGAGGTATTTTGATAGCAAACGTCCATTTAAAAAACTTTTATGAAGAGCATAATGTTGGCAACGAGGAGTTGCACTTCTCGAGAGTATACAGGTGAACCTATACACCCTCAGTTCCCAAATAATTTTCCTTCAGATGTGGGGTGAGGTGGGATTAGTCTAACAGAATTTTTTTTTGTTTCATACGGTAGTATTTTATTATTGAAAATAAATTTTTTTCCATCTATTACTGTAAATCATTTTTTCTCTTAACTTTTCCAGTTTTTTATTTTCATTGTTGCAGTTGTTCTTTTTTTACATTCTAGAGGAAAAGTTTGTCTAAAATTAATGATACAAATAGGCAAACAACAAATGTTAAATCATGTAGTATGCGGGAAGCAAGGGCAGAATAGTGAGTAATGGTTCAGATTATCATATTGAGAGGATAGCTTTCAATCCCTGCCTCGACTAGTATAAACTCATCGTTAGAAAATCTGGCTACTGCTACTAACCTGATTGGTAACTTATTTGTATTCCATTCAATAAAAATTATTTTATTGGCACTTGCATTTGGTCTAAGATAAAAATTTTAAATCATACTAACACTAAGTGGAACAAACATAGCGAGTTGTCAGCGCTAATGTTTACTTATTTTTACTTACCTTACTTTCTTACTTTACTCACTTATTGATTTACTTACTTTTTACATAAAACAAAAATTCACCACTATTTTCCATTAAATGGTTTTCAATATTTTTTTATCATGACTGTTTATTTATCCAGAACAAACTTCCATTTCGATATTTCGTTATATATTCTTTGTTTATTTTGGTACTTTTTATTAATAATTTATTAATAATTCTTGGGATTTTTTTAATACTTTAACTTCGTTTTTTTATTGGATTTAAAGTTTTGAAATCAAACCTTGAAGCCAATGGTTTAATTATTTTCATTATTTCGCCAATTATTCATTTTTTAAAAAAAATCTTATATTGAACAATTTTTTTTAGCTAGTGTATATAATGTTGAATTCTCAAAATACAAGCGAAAATAATCTCAGTAAGGTTGATAATGAAAATAATGGAGTTGCTGTATTATCTTGTCCGGCTGATATTCACAAACAGTATCGTTATACTCGAAATGAAATGCTTGCATTACGTGATGCACCTGCTAGCAATAAACGTCCAGTTTATTTATCTACTGATTTTGATAAGTAATCTTTATCACATTTCTTTAATATTGGATTTTGGATTATCTTTAATATTTCAAATTATTATTGTTATTATTACTGCAACCAGCAGTTTGTTAAATTCAGTGATCATTATTCAGTGATCAAGGTAAATTTATGCCGGAAAAATGGGTTGAATATCGTTGGATTTGTGAGGGAATTGAAAATCGTCCAAATGCAGCATCGAAGCGTAAAGAAAAATTGAAAGCGGAAGCGCTTGAAAACGAATCTACTGTTTTATCTCCACAAAGGCGAGGTTTTTCTTCAGGTTGTCGTGCTGCTTCACCAACCAAAAAAGGTTTTTTTTTAGAAATTTTCTTATTTCTCCTCTTAATTCAATTATTTAACTTGAAAATAAGTAATAAGTAAGGGATATGTATGAAAGTAGAAATATTTGTTGTTTCATCTTTTTTTTATTCAAGATCATTATTTGACTGTTACTATTTTTGTTTTATTTATTTTAATTGCTGTAAATTTAACATTTTAAATTTTTATTTATGATAATTTTTAATAAATAGATGGCGAAACCCAAAAAAATACAGCATCCAAAGGAACATGGCGATCTAATCAAGTTTTTTATTCCAAAAATTCTTCTGCTTCTGAATTTAAACCTTCATTTGTAAGTTTTTTTGAAAAGAAAATTACAGTATTTTAAAATTTCGAACTTATTTAATTTATTTTTTATATTTTTTTTATATTTTTATATTTTTTATATTTTTTCTTATGTTTCTTATGTTTATTTCTATTCTCTAGCAAAAGAATGCACAAGGCGAACAGCTCAGTTTTGTTCGATCTCGCTTCGCAAAAGATAGTGTACATACGAGTGATGGTCATTGGCGCAATGTTAGCGATGTATCATTCAATCCAAATTTTCACAAGGATTCTTCTGTTCAGGTTCATTCTTCAAAAAACTTGAAAAATTGTCAAAATTATATTTTAGAAAATTAAAAATTATATTTTAGCGAAATAAGCAGAATGCTGCAGCAGGTGAGAATATTCCCGAATGGCTTGATGATGGAGCCGAATCTATACATGATGTCGTTGAGCTTAAAGGGTTTGAAGATGATGGTACATTTTCAAGAAATATTTTAAATTATATGATAAAATTTTCAGTGAACAAAGTTCAATTTTTTTCATATTTTTTGTTATCTGAAATTTATATTAAGAAATATATCAAGGAATTGGAAGTGTCATATTTTACTTCGAAAAAATCATTCATTTTTAAGTAGTTTCTATCACTTTTAAGGCATGCGCTTTATCAGTTTTGCTTCTAAATTTTAGTTATTTATTCAATATCTTTTTTCTATTGTAGCTAACAAAAAGAAGAAAGATGGTGACGTACCCGAACTGCAAATGTGCTTAAATTCCCAGGTTTCAATAGCTTCCGATTTTTCAAAGGAAAAGATCACTTCAAATGACACTTGTTCACAAAAAAATGATTCATTGTTATCAAAATCAGAAAATAATGTGGCGCCTTCTGTTTCTCATATCAGTAAACATTTGCCTGATTCGGATGTTGAATTCGCAGCTGTCATGGGAATCCTCGAAGAAAATGATCTCAATCTCATCAATGTAATAATATATTTCTTATATTTTATTGCTCGATTTCGCCATTCTTTCCAGCGATGGTTTTTGTATTTTGATGATATTAACTCATCAAGTTTAATTTTAGAGTAAAAAGAACTCGATTATTCCAAATGAAGAGCCAAGAGCACAAAGTCTTTTTTGTCGATTCTTCTCTAGCAATGAAAATTTTAACCCTTGTATGTTTTAAAATTTTTCATTTAATATATTTTTATCATTTAAATGTGCTTCTATTCAAAAATTTTCTGAATTTTTGTTTAATTTCTCATGGATTTAGTTCTAATCAATTTTAAACCATTTTTTAAATTTTTTGGACTTCTTATCACAAAAAACTAATCTCTGGAATAAAAGCGGAACAGTGAGGATTAATTTTAGTATCGAATTCTTATGATGTGACCGCTGGTACTTCGGATGTTGGTGCGGAAACTGCTTCACATCAGAAAAATCATAGTATTGATGCGAGGCCAGGTACATCAGATTATGCCAGTGAAAAAAATGTACTTGCAAACCCGATCCTCCAAAGGCTTTTTGACAGTTCGGCGAATGAAGAACGTTATCAGCATGTTCAGAATTTGGTTATCGTTTATGAATTTCATCCATTTATGAAGCTCTCTTTAGTTTCACATTTTTTTTTTATTTTCCTTTATTTTTAGCCAAATATTGCATCACTTCGAGGACCTGTCCATGTGGAAGATTTGGAACGAGGATTTCAGATAGAAGCTGAACTACTTAATTCTCCTGGATTATCTAATGAAATCAATCAGTTAAGAGCCTTAAGGCTTAATTCTCAGTCAGCTACTCAAAATGTTAATCCGAGCATCCATTCTCAAGTATTTGCTTCACTTTTTTTTCTCAGTTTTCGATCCTTTTCTCGATTCATTTTCATCTTGTACTTTCGGTTGAAAAATAATACGAGGAGTAAATTTTTAGATAGCTGGATCCAAAGGAAATCCATTAGGCGATCCCTATCAGCAAGCCCATCTCCTCAACAGGTTATCGCAATTATCGCAGCAACAGAGAAGTACTGCGGAAAATTTTAATTCTCACTTTGGAGTTCCTATGAGTACTTCAAATTCGTGTATTTCTAATGCTAGTCAAATTGATCGCGGGCTACATATGCATCATATAGGTGAACCAAGCCCTGTTTCTATGCGACATGAATTTCCCTTCAGTCAAGTTCATCATCGTTCTGCCATAATTGATGATCAACAGGCTCGCAATTTGCATATGAACCAGAATTTTCAATCTTTTGATGGTATTTCATCATATGCGTCACCAAGGTTTGCAACTGTGATTCTTGTTAATACAATTTTCACACATACTAAAAAATTTGAAATTTACTTACCTTGATTGCTGAATAAATTGCATAGATTTGGTATTAAATCCTTAATTATTGAACAAATTTGTTTGATCAATAAGTGGTTGAATACAATACAGTTTAACAACGAAAGGGTTTTGATTGATATAGATTTGAAGTGGTTGGTGACATCTATTTGTAACAGTGTTTATGCTCTAGAAATAAAAAAAAAAAGCTGATCATTTATGACAGATTTTGAAGGGGAGAATGTGGAATGAAAGATAGAATGAATTATATGTTTCACATATAATTAATAGCTAGTGAAAAAAACCACTTTATATCATTTCAACTGTTATTCCTTTCATTTATTTATTGATTTCGAATTTCCAATTTACGCATTCGTATTGACTATTTGGCTAAGACGAACAATATTTATTGGTGTCTGGGTAACCCATTTTTTTGGTTCAAATTCTTTAGGAAATAAGATAAGTTTAAATTCTTTGGAAAATTGGGAAATGAATAAAATTTTCTTCCTTTTTCTTTTATTCCTTTCATACTAAAGTATACACATCTATTGAGTAAAATCTTTTTGTAGCGTCATTGTTCATCAGCAACAAGGAATGAAAAAAATGATGCGGGTTTTACCAAATACAAATTCATCTGCGACTCCAATGTCGAATTCATTCATGCCCACCTCAGTAATTCGACATTTAACCAAGCAAAATGCGGAAGAAAAAGCAACAAATCATTTTGAATCGAAAATTGCTCAAAAAAGTACTTTTCTACTTTTGGACAAGCCCAGATTTAATTTAAAATTAAGGATTATTTGTCGAAAGTTTCAATCCATTAATCTTATTTCTTTTTTGTTGTATTTTGAAATTTTAGTATGAAATTTTGAAATTTTGCTTTTTTTCATCTATTATTTTTTTATGCTCTTTTAAAAATGACTTGAAGCGATTAGTGGTTGATTTTTTCGAAAAAATGGTAAAGTTCTTCAAGTTTTTTCAAGGTATTATAAGTTTGCTCCAAAATTTCCGTGTTTTTTTATTCTATAAAGCTATCAGACGTGTCCTGAAATTACGAAATTCGAAAATTTCTTGTCCATATTTTTTAAAATCTGAAAATATTAAGAAAACTTATATTCTAATCAAATTATTTTTCTATTTTATTTTTCTTATTCCACTTTACGAATTTTTATCAATTCCTACTTAAATTTCTTTGAATTTTTTCAGCAGATGTTGTTGATTCCGTGAATGCCGCTGCAAACTTTGACTCCAACACTTTGTTAATGCTCCAGAATCAACAATTGCAGCAGCATCAATTAATGCAGCATCTTTCAATGTTGCAACCTAGGCAGCAACAGTCGTTACAAGTACAGCAAATGCAGCAGTATGCTCAATTTGTTGCTTCGATTCGTGCGAATGCTTCATCTGGTTTTTGTCGACCACCAGTATTACCTGGTGCCAATCTCGGTCCACAGTTCCCTGCCATGTTGCAAGCAGAACAGCAGCGCCAAATTGCACAGACGTTTTTGCGAGATGCACGTGCTTGTGCTTTATCAATTCAGAATTCGGATCAAGGTGTGGATCATATCCAAGGTTCTCAGCAAGATGTGGTTCGTTTCTTAATTTTTATATATGATTACATTTACTGATTTATTTTGTAATATTCCTAATATTTTTTGTCTATTTTAAATAGGATTGATAATAATTCTTTTCAGTTCATGTCTAATACTGTTGCTAATCAGCCTTGCGTTCCAATCACTGCCTCTTCATTCGGACCACAAAATCCGATTGAAAAACTCTTACAGCCTGCTTCATCTCTGGTAGCAAATCAATCTTCCCGTGTACCCATTTCAGGTATATTATATATTATATCTTTACAGTTATTTTAAAAAGAACGGTTCTGCGAATGTTGTGAATAGATAACATGAAGGAATCAATTTGAAACTTGGAAATCGATATCAGAAAATTGGCATTTAAACTGTGTTGAGGCTGTACTCTTGTTTCTTCGGATTTTATTGTTATATATCTTGTTGCCTAAATTCCCGTTATTTCCCATTATAGTTCTTAATTCGATTTCCACTTTTTCTTTTCGGTTTTAATTAGAAAATTACCAACTATCAATGCAGATTATTTTTCCGGTTATTTTAAATTTTTATCAAAATATTCATTTGAATTTTGCAGGTAGAAGCGGATTGCCGTCCATTGTCGACCGTCTTCCACCGTCTGCAAATTGCATAAGCGTAGAAGAACTCGAAAGGCAGTTCGCGCAAAATTAAATCGGTGTCTCTTATTTTCATTTCATTGTATATTTATTTGTTTTTATTTATCAAGCGTTCCATTATATAATATTATTTACGAGTATTTGATTTTGTAGAAACGATCATTTTTAATTTTTAATAATAATAATGCCTCATAACGATACGTTTTTATGGCTCACATTAATATATGAATATAAATATATATTTATATAATATAAAATTATTTTGAGCCTTTTGTTTCATCCTAATAATGAGATCATGAAATATATTAGGGATTTGAAAGGTTACGGGTCTTGTCAGTTGTTTGTTTGTTAAAACAACCTCTGTCAATTTTTGTTTTTCTTTTTTTTTAGCTCTTTTCTTTCTCGTTCATTGCTTTGTCTTATGCTTGGCTATCCATTCATGTATAATTATAATAATATATAGTATCGGAAATAGTGCCCATTGTTGGTTTGTGAGTGCATTCCACGAGCCATATAATAATTTTGCACGTTTGCAACTCAGGGTGATTGATTGGATTTAAATTATGGACGTTTTTTTTGAACGAGATTTTAATCGAACTCTAGAAGTTCACCAAAACTACTTCTGATTTTTTCCCTATTTTAATTTTTGATTTTGAATACGAAAATATTTTTTTTGATATATTTTAAATATACTCAAGTAATGTTGTTTAACTAATCTTCCTTTTATTTAGCTAATCTTTTATTATATTTCATTTCGATAATTTCATTGTAATTTTATGTTAGTATGGATCCTTTATAAGCATCTATGCTATTTTGTTTATCAAAATCATAGGTCTATTTGCGATTTTTTTCTTTTCAAGCTATTTTTTCCATAAAATAAATAATTTTTTGAAATTTTTCGAAATTGTTCAATAATTAAATAGTATTTGCTTCATTGGTACTAAGGAAATGGAGTAGAAACACGGTGAATACATTTATGAGATGTGTTATGGGGGAATTTGTATTTATTGCGAAATGGTAGATTCTCATTACAGGTTCACTGTTAGGTTTTATTTTCATATTATTACAAATTGATACATAACAAGGAGTTAAGTTAGAGTTAAATGGAACTTCCTGACACTCAAAAAAAAACGAGAAGTTAATTTTTGATCTAAACCACTTACTAAAAGGAATATTTTTGATTATTAGAAGATCGTGATGATGTTCTAGGTCCATATATTTCTTGCGGTGAAGAGGTCTCATCCTCTTAGCCAGTGAACCAAAATAAATTAAAGGTGATGAATGATATTAGAAGAAAAAAATGAACTCGCGGACACATCGTTGCTTGCATAAAAATAAAGTTGAAAGAAAAAATCACAAAAAGATATATTGCATGGTGAGATCACTTATAAATTAAAAAAAAAACGATCTGAAATTCAAATCATTTTTGACTTACTCGTCGAGATAAATGATTCAGTTCATTAAAAACGTTTTATAAACCTAATGCTTCCGTTGTATCGATTGGATCTCTAGCGCCAGGCAAATTTAGTTCATTTTTTTCTTGCTTGTTATCCGCTCTGTGAAAGGATGAAGTTCGTGATGAAGTTTGTGATGTGGATTTTGAAGCGTTTTCCTAGAAAAATTTTCTTACAGATGAAGATAAACCAATGTTATATCTATCAAAAATGAGTCTCAAATGGGTACCCTTGAGTTGCCATGACCTTTTGAATCCAGTGAAGCCCTTGAGTTGCCATGATCCTTTGAATCCAGTGAAGCCCTTGAGTTGCCATGACTCTTTGAATCCAATGAACCGATTTTACTTTCAGCTTTCCATTTCAGTTTCGTTGTCGGGATCTTTAAAAAAAATTGAAAAATGAACAAAATCGCTGTAAAAATAAGAAAAATCCACGTAATAAAAGAAAAACAATTTAGTGCCATAAAAACTGAAGGGAATCGTTTCGATTTAAAATTCCCCGCAGGAGTAAGTCTATATAAAAATCCGGGTCATGCAAGCGATTTATATATATATGATGGGATAATTGATATTGAGAAATCTTAACTAGGGGCGCTCATTCCAGCACAAGACAGGCAATAAGCGCCAGATCCATTGAAGGAGAGACCTACCACACTAGACGAGATTTTAAGTGCAGATTGTATAAAATAACCTAGAAAAAATCCAACATATAATGGCGGAATATAAGCCGCAGCAACGGCATTAGTCTATAGGAATGTCCACTAAATGTGGCTTGGACTTAATATTACATAGAAGGTTCCTCGCAAAATCGTGAAGACTAATGAAGCGAAAATCCTTTGGGAATTTTCCATAGAAACACACAAATAAGCACTTGCCAATCAACCAAACGTACATCGAGGTAGTAGATAAGAATCAGCACTAGTGATAGATATAGCAAATGAGAGAAAGTTTAGGAAGAAGGAACATGAAAAGTTAGAGAAAGATTAAAGCTGGAAGAGGAATAGAGAATAACCAAAGTAATTCCAGTGATAACTGGTGTACTCTAAACTAGAAAAACAGTTTCGGCAGATTTCAAACAGCAACGCTGATCCAAAAAAGCACATTAGGAGCAGCCAAGACACTTCTCAGAAACAATTTCCCAAACCTCTGGTAAAGGACCCGAGAATGAGGATGATCTTAACCAACCACAGGAGGTGAAAGATTTTTTTACGAATATTTTTTATTATATTATAATATGCTAAATAAAATAACTTACTTTCACATTGCCACCCGCCGGTTTATGCGTAATATTGCTTAATGAGCCAACTTTGGATTCAGCTTTCCATTCGAGTTTTTGTGTGGGTATCTAAATAAAATATCCTATTATTAGCATATATTAACATATATTAATAAAAAAACCCATCATAATTTGTAATAATGCGCAGAAAAGAAAAATTCACAAATTATTTTTGAAAAATTATTTTATAAGAACGCTCAGGCTTAATGCGTATTTTCCAAAGATAGGAAAGAAAAAAACCTATAATCTATGGAACTATAATTCGTACACAAATAGACAATGAATGCGCTTAATTGCAGATTTGAGAGAAATGTCTTTTTCTCCAAGAACGCTTGCCATGTTCGGTTAGGCTTGCTCAATTGGCTTATCGGACCAGATAAATTTTGCCAGGGAGTTATGGAGTAGAAGTAACGGCGAATTGCCAGCATCACCATGGATTTTTGTAATACATATTTGAAAATATTTAAGGTAGCATTAAGCGAATTTTAGAGCCTAATGAGAATGAATCTAACAGTAATAATTTAAGAAAATATTAGAAATTTTCGAAAACCTTTTTGACAGATTGTGATCGTTTATGATCACTTCGAGCATCAATTCGTGGTTTTGCGTTTTGTTTGAATTCGACTTTGTGATTTTCAATTAGTATATGGCCACCACCTTCAATCATTTATTTCTTAATATCATATCCTTGTATAGTTCAATCGGAAATTTTTGCATTTTGTAGCAATCTCAATTAAAATTATTGTAGAGAAATGGATAATAATCATATAATAACTAATAACTGTTTGACATTTAAAAACTGTTTGACATGAGGGTTCTACATAATGTAGAATAGTTTGACAAGATAGAGTTCATTAATAAGCCAATAAACACGATTCAAAAATCAAAAAGATAATGGTATATATGTATAGTTCACTGATAAGCAATTAACGATTAATAATAAATGGAATTTTAAGAAGATAATAAATGATATACCTGGAGTTCGATTGATATTAGCCAAAGAGCCAATTTTTGATGATACTTGATAAGAAGATTTTTGTGAAAAAATTTTTACATTACCACCACCCGGTTTATGCGCTGTTATCGAATTAATGCGGCTAAACAATTTTTTAAATGAAATTTATAAAGCAATAATTGGATTTTATAGCGAAATAAGGAATATCCATGATTTTTGCCTATGGCTAACAACCATTATTATATCTTTAATATTAAAAATAGTTCAAAAAAAGAAAAACAACCTGGATACATTTTCATATTTCTTATTTCGCTTTGGGCTATTTGGAACCGTTGGATTTGCTATAATTTATTTTTTCTCGTTTCAAAAACAGAAAATTAATTTTTTATTAAATCTGATATATTATTTTACGTAAAGAACCAAAATTCACAATTTACCTCTTTTTAAACTGATAGAATGGTTGACTCACTTTTGGTAACAAAACGAAGCGAATATGCTCATTATTTATGATTGGCCTCTGATAACCGAGGATACTATCCACTTTAAGTAACAAGACCACACCGCAGGAACTTAGGGAGGAAGGAAAATTGTAAAGTTTTGTAAAATTGTAACGGAGGGGAATAAATAATGATAAAGAATAAAATGAAAGAGAACACAGAGGCTGAGGAAGAGGAAAAGGATTGATAAGATGAAGGGGAGAAAAAAGAAAGAAAAGCGATACCCGCATCAGTTATGGTAAAATTGGAGCAAGAAAATAATTTAATGATTTAATTTAGATGCAATTCAATTTGCAAACTCCTTTCTAAGAGATAACCACTGAACCATTTAAATAAATCTTTGAATCTTTGTTTAAATCGACCTAAATAAATATGGTGCCATTTTCTTCCAGAAGCTCTAAAATTTCTTTAAAGTTCTCTTTTCTCTGCTTTTTCGTCGTTTTGATGGGAAATCATGGAGAAATTTCCCCAATTTTACGAACTCGGAGATTTCCACTGATTTAAAATTTAGCACATTTATAAAAAAAACACCCATATTCTCATGCCACATTATATATTTAATTTTATGCCTTTAAAAACATTTAGGGGGTAATCCATAACTTTCCTCGTATTGCTAAAGCAGTCCTCGGAATAAAAAAGGCTGAGCTGTCATAAATTAGATTTCAACCTCTTGATAAAAATAAACCTGTCATTAAAAGTGAAATTCAAGTGTTAATGAGAGGAATCCATCCGTATTCCTACCTTCTAAAAAAGCCCAAACCTAGCAGTTAGTGGTACCAGACAAATCAAAAGGATGGTAATTGCTCTTAGAAGTGGAACTAATAAAAAAAGAATTTAAAATTGCAAATTTCAATTCTTTCTGGATTAATCATAGCAAATATTTAAAAAAATTTCATTACCTGTAACGTTTGACGCCTTTAAATTTTCATGACTGAAAAAAATTATATTTTATAAATTAAATTTTAAATTTTAAAGAAAATCCTCAAAAAAAATATTTTCGATTTCAATTCCCATTCAATTTAGCTATCGAAAAGAGCAGACGGCAGGCTTAATTTCCTTCATAACTGTGAATCAAAAAATTATCGATGAATAAATGGATGGAATGGAATGGAATGGAATGACATTCTAACAGTGGATTGAATAAATTTTTGGCTGATTTCGTTTGCAGTAAATTCCAATATTCAATTAGCAATGAAAGTATTTTAGAAAGCCTAATGCTAGTTTAAAGCCAAATACTAGCCATGTTTGATTAGTTGAATTTGACTTACGTGGAAGTGGATTTGATCGAAGATCCTGTTTTATGCCGTTGAGCGCTTGGTTTTAATACAACTGTTGATGCAGTTGATTTATGAAGCTCATTTTGATGTTTGGATATTGGCTAAAATCTTGTTATTTCTTGAATAAAAGCTTGGCCATTTCTAATGATTGCTAATGATTTGGTACTTTCGTATTTAGTACATACTTTAAATAATAATGTACTGAATCGCCTACAGAAATTATTCATCACTGATATATGATACAAATCATCTTTATCACGAATTATCACCGATTAACAATTAGTAAGTGGTTAGTACTCAATATTTCTGGTTAGGCTAGCTTAGTTAGTATATTTCGAATTTTTGCTAAGTGATAAGAAATAAAGGGCCGTCAGCATTATCCATATCTTTTAACGGCTCACTTTCCTACAACAGCCGAATCCTTATCTCTTAATATTCAGTTAACATTCCCACCGATCATCCCAATGGTCATGGAACCAGCCGAACTAGAAATGATAAGTGCCTCAAAAAAGGGAGACCTATATTAATTTAATTATTTATCATTTCAATTATTTAATAACTTGATCAAAAGGTTCTTCCTCCAAAAAGTTTCTACCCTAGGAATGACGTTCTTTTTTAAAAAACGCTCACCATTAGTGGTTAAACTCTCTCCTCTGGCTTGTCGCATTATGCAATTATGCTATGGAATCCTGTGGCGATTGCGATAGTATAAGTAAGCCGCCGGCACGACGGTCAGAATTGAGCATCAATCAACCCAATGTATTATGCTAATCTATTTTGTTTTTCTCCATTAGGCGACATTGTCGCCTGACGATGTGGCGGTAGATTTAAAACATGCTTCGATTCTCGCTGATAATTTCCTTGTCACTAAGCCGCCGACGCACTCCTAGGATTAATTAAGGAAGATTTAAAGAAATTACCTTTTTTTGTTGACCACTATCTGTTTTTTTCTGTGGCATCGGTGGCAATTCAGGTCCTTTCTGTGAAAAGCTATTATTCTTCACTTCATCTGAAGAGCTGCTTTTTTTAGAAATATCGACGTTTTGAGTTGACTTAGGTTGACTCGAAGGATGAATCGATTCAGAATGACTCGAAAGATGAATTTGTTCAGGCTGACTCGGTTCAGGTTGATTCGAAGGATAGGTAGGGATTGCTGAAAAGGCATCTTTCTCGAAATATTCACCATGAGCGAACTGGGCGCCTTTCTTGTAATGTTCATCATGAGCAACCTGAGTACCACTTTCATCATTTGAGGCTATTTGTTGTTCGATGTTTAACATATCGTTATCATCTCTTATTGGATTTATATCGTTCATTATTTTTACGCTTTCATCGAAATTTTCTGAAAAAAAAACCGAAAATTTAAAGCCATTAACGAAAAATCTTTTTCTCACGATATCATCTTGTAATAAATTCGAATATAGCGAAATTTTTTCCTCAAAATTGAATAGGAAAATAAAAACTTAAATAATCAATCATAGGAGAAATATGTGGCCAAATAATGCAAGAATTCGATCATGAACTTTAGCCGAATTTAGCTGAATGAAAAATAAAAATGAAAGATAAAATAAGAATAAAATATAAAATTCAAAAATAATTAATTTAATAATTAATTCAAAAATAATTAATTTAATAATTAATTTATATAAAAAATAAAATAATTTGTAATTATCGAAGCATGCTTTTCATTATATTTTTTAATTTTCTAACATTTCAATTCTCTTAATTCTCTTCTATTTGTTTTTATTTTATTTTGACTGCTATTTACAAATATTATCCACGGAATAATGCTATCATTAAGAAAATCCAAGTGGCCAAGCATGGCCAACCATTAATTATCTTCTATCGCTTATAAGCGCCTCTCTTTAGCGAAATTTTCAACTTTCTCAGCCTATCAGTTTACTAATGAAATCTAATGAAAACCTAACCAGCAAATTATGACTAACTAATTTCGATGAATTAAAAGAATTTTAAAAAAATATCTAAAAATGAAACGAGTGATTTTAAAATAATAATAAATAATAATTATGATGATAAGAATAAAATAAGAAATAATGATAATGGAGAAATAAAAAATGTTTCATTAAAATTAAAATTTTATAATTTAAATTCGCTAAAAATTCTTTCAATATATAAGAAAATCTTAAATTGAAATTTGCACCCATCGTTGACTTGAAATACGTAAAGAAAATCGACAAATAAATACAAATTTTTTAAAAAAATAAAATAAAATATATAATAGTAAAAATAAAATAAGAAAATAAATAAATAAATATATATATATATAAAACAAAATAAATATAAATAAATAAATATGTTAAAGGTCAAATGAGATAGGAATATGAAGAAAATCTATAAAGAAAAGGTCAAATATAGTTCATAAAAAATTTTTTAAATTATTTTTTGAATTCTTAAATATTTATAAGAATAAAGAACGCTTCTGAGCCTCTACTATGCCCCTACTAATCCTCTACATTCAATAAAAGAGTACGAACCACGTATTATTAAAAAATTCGAGTTGTGTTTAGAAAGTGATTTGTGGTCAAGTGATTCGATCTAACCGGCCTCCTTCAACCAGTCTAGCCAGAGCGAATCTAGCCAGAGCTAGGCTATCTAGCCAGAATGAGGTGAGGGTGAGCCTAGCCAGAGATACTGGCAGCATCACTAATTTTAAAAAATAATTAGAATTTGAAATTTTCACTCAAATGATGTGGGCTCTTGAAAGACAAGGACAGATGGCAGCTAAATAGCAAAAGCTTTGACAGCAATCGATAAAGGCCATTAGAACCTGTCTATTTGCTTCCTTACACGTTTCATTGCTTCATGCTTATCAAAAAAACATTAACAATTTTGAATATGAGGCATAGACGATTATTTTCCGTTATTTCAATTCATATCCCCTTTCTCCCCCCTCCCCCCCCCCTCCCAGCTCCCAATACCCCTTTCTTTCCCCTCTTATTTCTCTCTCTATTTCCGCCCTTGATGAGCAAACCTCTCGAAATGAATATTTTATAAGTTGTAGCGAATAAAGAGACAATAAACGCGATTCAAATCAAAATAATCACCCATTTAATAGAATATTAACGATTAATTTTATAGCCTTTATTTCTTATACAATTTTCCTACTAAATAACTATTCTCTGATAAGATAATGTTGTGATAAGACAATATACAAAAGAAGGCGTAAAGCAAATATCATTCGGATCATTAAATGATTATTTTCTGATAAGATAATGTTGTGATAAGATAAGAATGCATAAAGAAAAAAGGCATAAAGCGAGCACCATTCAGATTATTAAATAATTATTTTCTGATAAGATAATGTTGTGATAAGATAAGAATACATAAAGAAAGTAGGCATAAAGCAAACACCATTCAGATTATTAAATAATTATTTTCTGATAAGATAATGTTGTGATAAGATAATTTTCTAATAAGATAATGTTAAGATAAAGATAAGAAAACATAAAGTAAGAAGGAGAAAAGCAAGCACTATTTCATTTTTAATGATAGTTTGATGGTTCAATTTTATTTTCGTCAAGGGAGAACAATTTCAAAAACCTTATTACTCGTCCTCTAACGAAACAAATTTGCAAAAATCGAAGTTTTTAATAACCTAACTGCTTCATTTTATTATTATTATTATGCTTTATTTACAGTTAATTTCCCTAAAAATTGATTCATTTAAATTATAAATTGTAAAAGGTCAATAGGTCGAATATTTTTTAAAATTTCTAATAATATTGCAATTATAGCGAAAATTAAATTAATAAATAACCTTAAATGATGGAACGTCGACAAATTTAATTCACTAATTATGGATAATTTTATTTACTAATTAGTGAATTAAGGCAAACAATATTCCAAAGAATAGATCAGAAAATTCTTAATAGTATAAGAAATATATAATAACAATATATAACATAAAATATTTTTTATAAAATAGATTTTATAAGAAATTTTTCCCCTCACTCCTTATCAATAATTTTCTCCTTAATCAATAATTTAACTTTAGGCCTAGATAACTGAGAATAGGTTTAGTCAGTCCTTCTTATTTTAGGAGGTCTCAAAACACTCCTGGAAACATAGGTACATCTAAGTTAAAATTCTAATCTCAGCCTGAATCCTACGAATATTCAAAAGCTAATATATATAAATATGCATGTCAATAAACAGTGAGCGTCCTGGTTCATTTACCATCTTGCTAGTACCATCAAGTCTGCTGCCCAAAACAAAGCAAGTACCACCGAGGAAAGAACAAACCGCTGATAAAATAATTTTAAAAAATATAAATATTAACTTAGAAAATTATAAAATATAAACAATAGTACACGAAAAATAAAATTAAAATTTATATTTTTACGGAAATATAAAAAATTTCTATATTGAATTTCTATATTCTTTCTTTTTCTTTTTTCCTCATTGTGGATATTTTTTAAAAAATTTCGTAATTCTTGGAGTGATTTTAATAATTTTAATAATTTTTATGTTTAAAGAACTATTTTCAAATTCAAATTTAAATTTTATTTTATATTTCTATCTTAAATGTCACGAATTTTTTCATGACAATTAAAAATTAACGAAAAAAATTTTCGCTGAAGATTTGTCTAAACTATTTGGTTACACGCTTATATTATTTGGCTATATTTACGATTATATTTTATTTTAAAAAAAGAAAAGTGTTCTTTATATAAGAAAATACCATATGCTATGCTACATTTAATGACATGCTGATTTCCGTTTATGAACACGGAATAGGCTTATTTCCGTTAAACCGGCAACAAAATAAATTCATAATAATTGGCCTCATTCAAAGTAAACGCAAATAGCTGAGGAAAGAATTTTCTATCAACGAACAAAAAGTAGGCTATTTGATATGAATTATAAACAATGATAAGATTTGCTGCTTGAATCTGTTAAACGAAAAATAGTTGCTTCGTTTTTAAAGAAGCCAGAAACGCGAAAAACGAAAGAACCAACGGATTGAAATTTACGACCTCAAACTTAACAATTAATTTTTTTATTAAAATTTTTATAATATTTATTATTATTGCTGCTATTATTATTATCATTATTATTATTATTAATGTTATAATTACCTTGAATTTTATTAAAATCTTGTTTTTCACGGTGTAAAAATCGTCGTTTCACATCGCTTTCATCTTCTTCGTTATATTTCCTGAAATATTGTTGCTCATCGTTCTGTTCATTGCCACAGTGCGAAAAAATATTTCCATCATCAAATTTATCATAGAATTGAAATTGTTGAATTTCAGGTTGACGTCGATCATCATTATTGGACGCCAGAAAACAAATTGTTTGCTCATCGCAAAAATTTCCTTCATTAGTTGTATTATCCATCGATTTCTTATCCAGAAAAATCACAATTTCCAATCATCTGAAAATCATTGAGAAAAAAAAACGCTTATTTTCTGTGAGGGGAAAAAGAAATGAAAAAATAGAAAGAATGAGTGATGAGCATGCAAAATTTTCATGAAATAGTCGTAAAAAAATTTCCAAAAAATTTTCGATTTACTAATCGGTTTCGGCATTTTCGGTTTTGATAATTTGCCTACACCCTTTTACACCCTTCGAATTCATCAATTCATTGTTACCATCCGTCCTCGTCCTTTCTTAGCACTCACAATTACTGGTTTGGTTGGTTCTATTGGAAATATGGCAGCGAGCAATCTCTAGGGAATAGAGTAACAAATAAATTTCTCCCAGCATTGCTCAATTCTATTCTCTAATTTAAAAGAGAGCTGAATTGAAACTCCTCTACCCATCATAAAATTTCTGGCTTTTCTTATACGAATATCCACTTTTATTTTATAAACTTTAAAACAACTATTTTTAATTGTTTTATTTATATTTGTAATTTTAAAATTTCGTATTTTTAGTTGATAATTTATAATATTATTTGTAAAGTTATATTAATAATTTTATACTAATCTTGATTTTATAATTTTATTTAAAAATTTATGTTTATAATTTTAATTTTATATTAAAATAAATGTTTTCAAATAAAGCAATGAAACAATTTATGAAACAATTTGGATAAAATAAAAATTTTCAACAATTGCAATAAGGCATTAATAATAAATTATTGATAAATTGATAAAAATTGCCAAAAATTTATGAGAAATTATTATCGCAGAAAATTTTATTTTATTGGTAATCGACCTCGATTATTTTCTATAATTTTTAAAAATATCGGAAATAAAATAAAAATGAATTTTTGAATTATCAATGAAATGTTTATCTAAGCAGCAAAATTTTTAACCACTTTTGCCTTTTTGGTTTAGTTGATTTATGA